GAAGCAGTAAGGGTGTACTTAGTTTTTCACACATGGCTTCTCCATAGAACTCAAAGAGGGTGTACTTTCTTTTTCACACAACTGTAGTTCCACTGATCCCAAGATTACCATTGTCAAAATCTATTCTGCTACTTTAAATAATTCAGCATCTTAGACATGGATCCTCTCATGTGACTGCCCCCTCCTGACTCCATCCATAGCATCAACCACCATCAGAGAAAGAGATCAATATTTTACTTGCTATACATAAGTCATTATTGCATTATGTTTCAATTCCCAAACCAACATCAATTCTTAAATAACCTTTGCAAAGTTAATCATTTTTTCCGAAATAAATGAATGTAAAAAGGAACTCTTAAAATATCTCCCAAGTAATCTGCTTCCAGATGGGCAATTTTAAAATATGCTTTATTATTTGCTCTTCTGTTCTAAGCTAGCAACTGGCAGTATGTTGACCCCCAACTCAACATCATTCAAGCCAGGTCATGCACATCCAGAATCATTGAATCATAGGATTGGAAGGGTTAATCACAGTTAACTCATTTTCTTGAGAATGGATGTAAACATTTAAAAAGCTCTCTCAAAAGCAAGTTCTGAGAAAAAACATGCTTTTGATTTTGACATGTTCTGCTCATGCCTCCCTGCTCCAGTTAACACTTCTTTAGATCCATCCTCATACTTTTCTAGTTTCTCTCTTTCTATGCCAGCGATTCAAGAAATACCATGAGATCCAGATTGAAATTATGGGTAACTTTGTTTCTCCCCCCACCAAAAAACCAGACAAAACTCATCAGGTTTCAGTGAGAGGTCTAATCAGCATTCAGCCACATACTAGCTGCCTAACATTATTAGAAAGGCAGTACACTGAATGTTAGTTGAACCCCGGCAAAATCCAACGGACCATCCAATCCAAGCCAGTAACAACTCCTTCCAGCTATTTATCCGGGCACAGTCTTGGACAGCCTCAGGTCTTCTGGAAAGCCCAGCCAGGAAGTCGAACAAGGAACAGAAGCTTGCAGAACTGTCAGAGAAGGCAAGTGGGTGAAACAGGATTGTAGGTTATCTGTCTTGTTTGCTTCGAGTTGCGTTTTGTTTTGAATTAAGGTAATTGCTTTAAAAACGTATTCCGTTGTAACTATCGGGTGCTAAACAACATGCATTTCTTGTTTACGACTGATGGTATCGCTTACTGTAGCTCTGAAAACTTCTGTGGTTGGGTGAGGAGGAGCACCGGCCGTGTAAGTTTACCAGCCCGGAGTTGGCTGAAGAATCCTTTCCGTCCCAGTGTGATATTGGCAGCGCACAAAGAAGTTGTCAAATATTACTAGGAGGCAGAGGGTGGGAAAGAGACATGCACAAAAGTCCCCCAGCTTCAAAGTTAGCGGGATGGGAGTGATGTCGCAAACAGCAGAATGACGTTGGTGCGTCTTGTGTGCCTTGAGCGTCAAGGCAGAAGGAGATGCGTGGAGAACTCAAGGCATGGAGAACTTTGGTTCAGGCATTTGCCCTTGGATGCTCTTGGGAAGTGGGGGATTTAGCAAGGCAGTCCTGGGTTCAAATCGCCTCTTGGTCAAAGAAGCTCTCTGGGTGACTTTGGGCTGGTCTCTCTCAGCCCTGCCTACCCTGCAGGAGTGTTGTTGTGGGGAGCAGGGTGCATGTTGCCTTTGGTCCTGAAAGGTGTGATATAAACCTAAGAAATGAATAAATATGAAAAGGGAGATGATGTAAAAAAAGGAAATGGGGTGGGGTGGGGTGGGGCGATGGAGCTTGGGGAAAAAAATAAAATTCTTTTATAGCTGAATTCTTATTGAGGAGGAAATCTTTAAAGACTATGCGGAAGACTGTGCTGTCTTTGTACAAATCTGTTCAGGTAAAGTTAACATTTTTAACATGTTGGATGGTCATGATGGGTATTTTATAAAGTAAGAGCAGTAAGGGAAAGGAGTTTATTATGTTACGTTAATCTAGAGAACCTAAGTTTCAGGCTATATATTTAATACAGGTATATTTATAGGAAAATAGTACAATATTCCTTTTTTCTTAAAGAGGAAGAAGGCTAAGAACAGTAGTATGCTTGTTTGCTCAGACTAAATCCAACCATACAGATTTAACTGTTCCTCCCTTCCTTTGGGCTATTTTAATTAGAGAAAACACACAAGTAGCCTTGGAGGCATAAAAAAGATCAAAGTGCAGCAGGCAGTTACTGATTTCCAGGAGCCCTCTTCGTTTCAAAACAGCTAAAACAATCATAGTATCCAGGGTCACCTGGCTAGGGATATAAACTTTCCCAGCACTCTGTCTTCACTCGTCATACCTTTTTGATCTTGTTTTCTCTCTCTCCAGTCTGTAAGGACATTGCAATGGTTTCCTTTCCATCTTTGCAACATGCTCTTATTTTCATTCTCCTGGGGGGCCTCGGGGCTTTAGCCTTGGACAAATACACTGCAGCAGTCTATGAGCATGCAGTCATACTGGCAGAAACCACAGAGAAGCCTGTTTCCCCTGAAGATGCCTTGAAATTGATGAACCAAAATATGGATGTCTTAGAAGATGCCATCCAAAAGGCAGCAAAGCAGGTACTGGGTGCCACTGGCTAACATGCATTTGTTGGTAAAACGGTTGTCCTGCAAGGGAAGGAGTTTGACCTTCACTTCTTTTGACAGGGTGCACACATCATTGTGACTCCAGAAGATGGCATATATGGATTTTTTTTCACTCGAGAAACAATGTATCCTTACCTTGAGGACATCCCAGATCCACAGGTCAACTGGATTCCGTGTACTGACCCCAAAAGGTATCTTGTGCAGTCTCAGTTTAAAGACACTTGGATGTGGTAGCCTTCTCTCAGGTTTGTGTTTCAATATTATAATGTATACATGCTGACAAGCTCAAAGTGTCTTGAAGGAAGGGAGGATCTTTCCACTAGCATAGCATTTAACACATGCATTAGACTTTACCTGTTAGCATCTGTACGTACTCCCAAATATGTTGAACTACCATATCCATCCACTCTGACCAGCATGGCCAGGGCTTATGCTGATATCTGTCAGCTAAATAGACTGACATGGATTCAGTCTAGGCTGAAATAATTGTCAGCAATGCAATGATTAGTATCTGAATATATATTTTTATAGCAGCCTTTCTCCATAGAGCTCAGGCAGTGCACGTATTCTCCATTTCTGTTTTTATAGCTACTCAAGGAATAGGATGAAAAATGGTATCTGCTTTAACATTAGCCAAAATGTTTACAGCAGAATGCAAACTTGAACTCAAGGCAGCACCTAGCCAGCCTTGGCTGATCTTGCGAAAGCTAAGCAGGATCAAACCAAGTAAGTACTTGGATGGGAGGCTACCAGGAAATCCCAAGGTTGTAGGAAAGACTGAGAAATGGAAAAAATGTCCCAGAAGGCAATTATAAATTGCTTCCATTTTGCTGAGAAAACTACATAAATACATCCATGTAGTCACTAGAAGTCAAGCCTGAGTCAAACGACATGCCAAGCCCCAGTACATCACAGTAGTTCACTCCCATTTTAAACGTGTTCTTTTTAAGAAATTGTAGCAAGGATCTTTGCTTGCTTAGATGCTCAGGAGTGAAAGAAGAGGAAATTGGTGGGGGGTGGGGAGTGGTAATTTATTAGGTCAAAAGAAGATTGTCACTGTTCCCTTTTTCTTATGTTCAGAGAGGATGATGGTGTGGAGAACAGAATCATGCCAGACCTACACATGCAGGAATGCTTAGCTTTTCAAGTTTAGCTAAGGACAGTTAAGTGCTACCACGAAGCTCGGCATGACTCCCAAAGAGGAATTTTCGTTGATAACTTGCTCCTACAGAGAAAAGCATAAGCAGTGTGTTGGCAGAGCCAGCTATATCTAGTTTGCTACCCATCCTCATCTCTTGCAGAGACCTTAAGAAACCTGGCATTTTTGTCAATATTTAGCACCTCACCAAGCAACTGGGTATTGTCATTTTTTCACCCCTGCAAAATTTCAATGCCTTGGTCAGAAACACATTTTGGCATAAGGAAAAGGCAGCATTTGGTAACCTGAGAGACACAGTTTGGCAAAAAAGAAAGGGGGGAGGGCAGAGCCTTGGTGAATTTTTAACAGAGAAAGACAAAGCAAAACAAAACTGGAACAAAAATCTCTTTAAAGCCAGAAATACTTTTTAAGGCAATAAAATTATTTTTAATCAAGTTTTAATCAAGTATTTATTAGAGCCATCTCCTATAAAAGACACCAATTACTTATGAAAGCCATAGAGCATATTTGCAGGGGCTTATCTTTTTTATTAAAAAAAGTCTGGGAATCTAGATTTAAGCAGCTTGTTGGCTTGGTGCTACTCATGCTTGTCTGTTTCCACAAATTTCATAATGCATGCAGAGATTCCCTTTCTAGCCTTTACTGACACACAAACATATACAGAAATATTGCAACCGTTATTGCCAGGAACATACCCACATTCATTCCTGGGGGCCCCCTGATTGCTTTCTAGACAATCTCCCCCCCCCCCCTTTTTTTCAGTCTGGGGTAAAGAGGTAGTTTCTGATTGTGCATCAATAATAGATTAGAGAAGGAATGAACACTGTAAGGGCCCTGGCAAATACAGAGCAGAGCTGATCCAATGTTATATCAACATAAAGTATACTTGCAAATGAATTTGCTGCGAGGGTGGAGGGAGGAGAAGAAACAAGCGGTCATTTCACAGCTATCCAAAACAATCCTGCTGCTGCTTGGCCAGATATGATAAATTTTCTGGAATGTGCATTTCTTTGGACTACGTTTTTATTAAATCCAGTTACAGCAAGTAGATGAAGAAATTATGTACATTGGTTTACTTGTTTATTGAAAATGGGGAAATAAATGGAGAAATTTTAAGTCATGTACATTTGGTAGAAAGTATACAGACAGTTGTAAAGAATTAATGTTTATCAAAGGCAAAAATGGCTTCTACCCACTTTGTTACATGGAATGAAAGCTGGGTATGGTAGGAAAAACATAACAATAATTGAATGTAGAGGAAATAGTGTGCTACTCACACAAAAAGCGATAGAGGCAGGAGTGAACGGCTTCTGAATAAATATGGATTGAATACAAGTGAGGGACCAGTATGAATGAAGTAGGTTGGGATGCTTTGGTTATACAGCAGGACTGAATGAGGATCAAACTGCAAAATGAATATACAGTGGAAGAGTGAATAGGTTGAGAGGAAGGGGAAGAATGAGAAAGTCAAGGTTGGATGGAGTTGATATTTTAAAAAAAAGGAGATGAGAAGTTTAAAAAACAAAAGGCATATGATATATACAGAGTTGGTAGACAAATCAGAGTTTGTAGGGATAGAAAGATATGGAGAAGCACAATGAATGGTATTGCTGTAATTAAATGTCCTCTTCTTTCATCTCCTGCCTTTAATTCTTTAGTTACTATTTCTTACTCCTTTTCTACTCCTTGTATAGCATTATTGGCCCCATGAGGGTACATGTGTATGTATGTGCACATTCATTTCATCTTCTAGAAGTTATCTCAACATCTGGAGGACTCCAAGTGCCAGAAGACAGCACTTCATAACAGAAGGAAAAGAACAGTATGAAACTCTGGCATTATTAACCAAATCACGTTAATAATGTAAATAAAATCATGTAATTGGATGTAGTATGTTCTCCTTTATGGAAACAATCTAAAGAAGAGGGCTTATGATCATCAAATAACAACCACATATATCATTCCTAAGATAAAATGTACTGTATTGTGTTGCTGGTTCAGTTTTAACTCTTTGTCCACCACCTAGAGTCATTGTTGTGAGATAGGTGGCTATATACATTGTATAAATAAAGAGAGTTAACTGATTTTGTTTAATCTCTGTCCTTATAGATCTGTGTTTGAAGTCTCACTGCCAAAAATTGCTGGTGAGGGCATGGAGCAATTTGGAATGGGGAAGAAATTAGGTACATTTGTTGCACTAAGCCGTTATTTGCTTAACTGTGTTTTATTAAATAAACCATAATTTGATGGCTTTACACTGCATACTAAGACCTAAACTATGATCTACAACTTACACTTACTGGATTCATACAATACCAAACAAATAACTTCATAAATCACACATTGGAATTTATAATGATATACTAATTTATATCGTTATAAGTTCCAAATATCTCTCAGTAGAGAGCCAGTGCCAGGAGAATTCCTTTCATCTTTTCCCCAGTGAACTGGTTTTCCACTGATTGAGGCTGTACCAATTACTACCCGTATCTTTTTCTCTTAGATGGAAAAACATTTTCCTGAATCAATTTCAAATAGAAATATAGCTTGAAGGGACAAGATTTCATAGCATCTAAAGCTCACCGATTCCAACTTAGCAACCTCCTGTGGTGGTTCTTCCTCTTTTCTCTTTCTTATTTTAAAAGAAAAGCCCTCACTTTCTGTATTATGTCCTTCAGCATGGAGATAAACTTCCAGTATTCCCTTGTACTAATCCTTCATTTCTGTGATTCTTCATGTTTAGATTTGGACCTGCTCCAGTACAAGAAAGGCTGAGCTGTCTAGCAAGGGACAATTCGATCTATGTGGTTGCCAATATTGGGGATAAGAAGCCATGCAATGACACAGACCCAAAGTGCCCTAGCGATGGCCGCTATCAGTACAACACAAATGTTGTCTTTGATTCAGATGGAAAGCTGGTGGCACGATATCACAAGGTAAGGTTACAGATTTCACACTTTATTTTTAAGAACTGGTTATTTTGCCACAAGCCCTAAGCACCTCCCTTTAAAAGTTCATTTTACTTTAAACATCTGAGGCTGAATATATACACTAGAGCATATTTCAACTTAGAGACTTCAGAGGGATAACTGAATTACATGTAGCAAAAGCTTTAGCATGTAAATTTTGCAAAACATATATATATATATGGTGGAACAGAGCTCTGGGTATCTGATGAAATGCGCTTCTAATTTGGCAGATTATTTTATTTATTTATTTGTTTGTTTGTTTATAATAGATTCCCCCCTTTTTTAGTTTCCTTTTTTATTAATGAAATTTAATAAAGATAAAAATAATACAATCGTGACAATACAATGAAAGATAAAAATGATAAAAATAAACCTAAAAAAAGGAAAAAGATAAAGATTTTATTATTTTAAGATTTTATTATATTAACTAGTTCAGCCTTTAACATATTATTAAAGCTAAAAATAATGTTGCTCTGTCTTCTCATTTCTACAATATAAAGCTATTTCCAAAATCAACTAAGAAAAACACCCTGGTGCTCCAGAGATTCCAAAAGGAATATGGTGGGTTCACGTTTGATCTCTTTAATCTATAAATGCAACCTTCATATCCTAGGGGGTAAAGATTCTGGCTCCATATACCCTTTCACATATCATTCAGGAAATGCCAGCAGTGTCCTAGATTACATCTGTGTCTCACGAAACAAGTCTGGGCTCTTTTCAGACATTCAAGCCCATGCGAGAGAGGACAGTGATCATCAGTCGATTACAGTTTGTTTTCTAGCCAGATCTGACACTAGACCATCTATGCCACATGATAAGAGGCTATTAGCAA